ACCAAGTAAGTTTTGCAATGTCATATCCTTGATATTTTAATCCTATTTATGGTATCACTTGTTAATTCAGCCATGTGTAGTCTAATGATTAGTTGCATACTGTTGAATAATGCATTATTTTTAAACTAGCTAATTTTTTGATTACTGAAAATGTGAATGGAATCTGGACATCAGAAAGCCTGGCAGTAAACGGAGTATTGTTTTAAACAATAAATGAGGTTCACAGTAATATTTGCAAAATGTGTGTGTTGTAATGCACGGTTGTGCTTTTTTGGTAAGTTCTCTGTAAATTTGTGAAGTCCTAGAAGGACTTGTTTCCTTGCTTCTACAAAAACTTATAAAATGTTCAGATTTCAACAATGACTTTATTTTTCTATGGAGGTGTTAGCTTGTTGAATGCACTCTTTGATACTAACTTTCTGAGTTGGTAGAACTACTTTAATTTCAGAAATAAATGGAGGCTTGTCATAGAATATTAAAACGTGAAATTTAATGCCTCTTTGTCTGAATGTATCAATGTGTATAGTATGTGTTATTTGCCAGCTGGGCTAAGCAATGTTTTCACCGAAAGATTTAAACGTAAACCTTAAAATAGCAAACACCTTGTTAGTATTATGTTATAAACTCCCAAATATTTTTACAGCCACTGTATAAACTTTAATAAAGGAAAAATTGTGCAAAACGTAAAAGGCGTAAGCAAGGTAAGATAAGACTGCAGCACTTAGTTACAGGCAAGTGAAATAATTTTGTGAGGAGGAGAATGAGATCTCACGGTCCGATTTTTTTTTTTAATCCTGTGTCCTCAGTCTAGGTCCATAGCTAGGCTTCTCTCTATTGAGAACATGCTGTATATAGCCAGTAAGCACCACTGACACAGTCATGGAAGCGTATTTTGTTATTTTGAACTGTGAAAATTTATGGCCCCTGGACTTTTTAAAACTTACTATATCTTGTTAAGGTAAAAAAAAAAAAAAAAAGGCTTTTAAATTGAAATCAGTAGGGGGCCAGTGGTAAGGAAATCGTAAGAAAACTAAATAAATTGTGGATCATTATCATAAAGTGGTCTTGGTTATGGCAAGTGTAAGGCCTGATCCTCCTGTACTGCTAAAGTCAATCAGAGCCTTTTTTTTGTTTATTTGATTAGGTATGGAATTTGGCGTGGTGCCCTATCAGATGTCATAGACTGACTCTGGCAAGGGCTGAAAAATTCTTCTTCAGTGTGTAGTAAAAAAAAATAATAATAAAATAAAAAAGATTAAAATAAGAGAGATTATCTGGTAGAATCTCCTGACTTTATTTATCTGTGTTACCTGGTGAGATTTTGCTTCTGGAAAAAGGTTCTTTAGTTTTCAGTTACCAACTCTAGCATGTTCAGTAAAATCTTGTGCGTCGTTTTCTTCTTTGTTAAGAGTGAAGTTTGTAAATATTAGGGGTGTACCAATAGAGGTTTTTTGGGGCTGATACTGATAGTCGATTTTTTAAGGAGGCATATCAGCTGATACCAATCCAATTTCTGATGAACAGCCCAGCAGCTTGAAGAACACTGTCGGCTGGTGAGTCTGTTGTGGTGGAAGGAGTGGGGGAAAGTAAGGGATGTTGGGGTCATCTTAAAGCTAAACCTTGTTTCTTCTCTTTCCAATTGGTCAGAACAAACATTGCCATGGGTAAAGTAATGTTAAATTAAGGAGGACACTAAAAATGGTATCTTGTTAATTGGTTTGCTGTATTTCCCTGTTCTCTGTAGTCTGTATTTTTCAACAGAGTAGGCATATAGTTTGTCATTATGTGTTTATTAATACTGGTGTATGTATGCCAAGTGTTCTCTCATGTCATATTTGGCTAACATTTTAGTGGTGCTGCTAAAAAAAAAAAAAAAAAAAAAAAAAAATTGAGGCTTCTGGGAAGGAACAGGTCTTTAACCCCTAGAACTCAGATGTTGATAAATAATGGTATTTTGGTGCATTTCCATAGGAGCACCATTAACCCCATTTCTTTATTTTCTGTCTATTCACAGATATCCTTATTTTTCATATTTTTGGAGTCCTCTTAAAAACATTGCATGAGTGTAATTCTTTATAGTGTAATAGGGCATCAAACACAATAGGAAGATTCTCTGTCCAGTTTGCAGCGCATCAGTGTTTAAACTAGTGGTTCTCAACTTTTTTAGAGGCAAAGCACCCCTTGTTAGACTTGAGGCACCCCTCAGAAAATGCCAGCTCTTAGTTCTCACTCATTTTTTGACTGTGGAAAAATAATAGAGCAATCTTTCTGTCTCAGAGAACTCAGACCACAACATGTCAGAATGTTTTTGACATTATGGATTCTTATTTGAAATCTCTGGATTTATCTTGTAACTTGTGTTCACACGCCTAACCGTGCTAACATTGCGTGACACCCTTGAAAGAATCTCAAGGCACTCCAGGGTGCCATGGCACTCTGATTAGAATCGCTGGATTAAACTCTTTAGTAGACCACCTGAATAAATTAAATTGAAAAGGGAATCAAGTCTTCAATGGCATTTTTTTTGCCCCTTTTGACTGTGTATATTGGCTCAAGTGCTATAAAGACAATGGATCAGATAGCCTGTTAAATGAGGACCCTATCAACTAGATACCAGGGTCCCAATCTGACATTGCAGTTTACTACCTACTAGTCACACCGCTGTAGTAGTTGCTAGTAAAGTAGATGTAACAGTCCCTTTGCCCATTCTTATTTTTTCCATTTAGGAAAAAATCGTTGACTGGCTTTTGGCATAAGTTTTTCTTCTTAAGTTTGTAAGTACATTTTTTTTTTTTTTGGTTAGAGTTTTACAATTTTTTGTTTAGCTTTTGTTTACTGTTTAAAAAGAAACAGTAAATGCTTTTTATAGCTGGAATCATAGAAAATTAGGGTTGGAAGGGATCTCAGGAGGCCATCTAGTCCAACCCCTTTTTCAAAGCAGGACCACCCCCAACTAGATTGTCCGAGCCAAGGCTTTGTCTACTCTGGTCTTAAAAACCTCCAAGGATGGCGATCCCACCACCTCTCTGGTTAGCCTGTTCCAGTGTTTTACTACCTTCCACATGAGAAAATTCTTCTTAATAAATGAAACCCCAACTTCACCTGGTGGAACTTGAGCCCATTGCTCCTTGTTCCAGTCCAGCTTCATCCTCTTTGGAGCCAACCATCCTTCAGGTAGTTGAAGGCTGCTATTAAATCCCCCTTCAGTCTTCTCTTCTCCAGACTAAATAAGTCCAGTTCCCTCAGCCTCTTCTCACAAGTCATGTCTTCTAGCCCGTGAACCATTTTTGTTGCCTTCCACTGGACTCTCTCCAATTTGTCTACAACCTTTCTGTAGTGGGGGGTCCAAAGTGGGACACAGGACTCCAGATGTGGTCTCACCAGTGCTGAATAGAGGGGAAGAATCACGTCCCTCCAGCTGCTGTCAGTGTTCCTACTAACACAGCCCAGTATGCCGTTAGCTTTCTTCACAACAAGGGCACATTGTTGGTTCATATTTAGCTTACTGTCCTTTGTAGCTCCCAGGTCCTTTTCTGTAGTGCTGCTGAGTAGCCAGTCGACCCCCAGCCTGTACCGGTGCATGGGATTGTTCTGTCCGAAGTGCACGTCTGCAGTTCTCCTTATTGAACCTCATGAGAGGTTTGTTTTTTTGGTTTGTTTTTTTGTGCAGTCCTTCAATTTGTCAGGGTGTCTCTGAATCCTAGCCCTACTCTCCAGCATATCTATTACTACCCCCCAGCTTGGTGTCATCTGCAGACATGCACTCCATCCCATCTTCCAGATAGTTACAGAACTAATTTTGAATCATTAATGTATTTTGAATCATTAAATGATAGAATTAGCTAAAATAAAACTGAACGAATAAACAGCTGATATTTGTAGTTTAAGACAATTTAAGAGGCATTGTAATGGTGATTTGGGTTAATTTTATAGTTGGTATTAAATAATGTGATAATTAAGTGCTAACTCCATGGTTAGGCACTGGAAGGTAATACGGATTTAGTGATAATAGTGTTTGCTAAACAGGACCTTGTAGTATTGCTCCTGGTATCCCCTTTAAAGGAGGTAGTGAAAGCTAGGGATGTGGTAGTCATGGGGGACC